GATAAAGAAGAAAAGAACAAAGTGATCGTAGAAAAAAATAAAGTATGGGATAACTTACAGAAAGAAAAGGATGAAATTACAGCAAAATTTGATAAAATACGAAAACACGATGAGTCACTTCATGCAGAATTAGTAGAAACAAATAAAAGACGAAAAGCTAATATTGCATCTTTAAAAACAGTAAAATTTATTTTATTTATTCTTCTAAAAAAAAGTTAAGATGTATTTTATTAATTCTAACAAGTTAATAATTAAATATATTTTATAGGAAAAATCTAAATTGGAAGAACTATATAAAGTACCAGAAAAAAATACAAAAGACATTCAAGAATATGAAAAACTTGTTGATGATCGTATAAAAAATAAAGAAAAAGAAGAAGTAATATTAGAAAAATTGATGGGTGAATTAAGTAAAAAAACTAAACCATTATTGGATCAACGTTCGGTACTTGAAAATAAATTGATAATTTTAAGAAAGGATGTTGATGAAGCCCGAGCAGCGTTCGACATTGCTCAATCCGAGTTGGAATTATATGTTTCTATAGAATCAACTGAAAAAGAAAAATTAGAAAAATTAAAACATTCTTTAAAATTAACAACAGATAATTTAATAACGCGAAACGAAGAGTTGCAAAGTTTAGAAAATAAAATTTCTCATAATGAACAAGAATTAGGAACGGCGGAAAAAGAATTGAGAATAGTGAAATCAAAGGAGATTGAAATAACTTCGGAATTAAAAAAGATGAAAATTTCATTCGAGGAACAAAAGCTTGCCATGCAAGCAAATAAATCAAGGAACAAAATAATAGATAGTTTAATGAGGGAGAAAAGGGAAGGTAGAATTCCTGGTATTTTTGGAAGATTGGTATGTAAATTTTTTTATAAACTGTTGTTATTATTTTTTATATAATAAAATTGTTTCTATACTTTCTAAAAAATCGATCATGTATCATTATATCATTAAATTATTAACATTAATACAAGATCAAAAATATATCATTTTGTTACAATGAAAAAAATAATAATCATCATTATGCAATTTATTAATTATTCGTTTATTTTTTTTCGAAATACATATTATTTTTATGAAAATGATATAGTATTATAATAAATTATTCTAATTATTATTTAGATAATAAAATCAATAAAATTTAAATAATTGTTATTATTGCTCGATTGTGATGAGTGATGAAAAATTTTTTGTTTTAATTAAAATAATGTATTTGTCATTGTGAATGCTATTTGATAAACATAATTACATATTTATTTTAAATATGTAATTAATAAATTATTATTTTTTTAAATGTTGTTATTTTTTTTTTTTTAATAATATATATAATATTTTATATACGTATAATAATAGAAATATGTATATAAGTATTATACACATAAAATTTCATAAAATGCATTTTTTTTAACATGTATAGGGTGACCTTGGTGCTATAGATGTCAAATATGACATTGCAGTTTCAACAGCATGTGGTCCTCTAGATAACATTGTAGTTGATACCGTAACAACTGCACAAATATGTATAACATTTCTTCGACAAAATGATATTGGACGTGCAACGTTTATACCTTTAGAAAAACAACAGCGTTTTTTATCGAGATGTAAACAAAAGATACAAACTCCTGAAGGTGTTCCAAGACTTTTTGATCTTATACGTGTAGAAGACGAAAGAGTATTACCGGCATTTTATTATGGATTACAAGATACATTAGTAGCAGATAATTTAGATCAAGCAACACGAATCGCATATGGTCATAAGCGTTTCAGAGTGGTTACATTAAAAGGTGAATTAATCGAACTATCAGGCACAATGAGTGGAGGTGGGAGAACAGTATTAAGAGGGAGAATAGGACAACAAATTTTGAAAAACGAACTTTCCTCGATAGATATCGAAATATTACAATCAAATTTGAATAAAACTTACGAAGAGTGCAATCAGTTTAAAATTAGATCTCAGTCTCTGGAAAATCAAATTCATAATTTAAACGTAGATTTAAGAAATATGAAAATTAATAAGGAAAAATTAAATATTGAATTGAGAACATTGCAGGAACAAAAACCTTCATTGTTGGGGCAAATTAAAGTTCAAGAAAAAAAAACTGTAAATTCAGTATCAAACCCGCAAAAAGTTGAACAATTGAAAGATGTGATGAACACTGCTAAAAGTACTCTGGAAAAAGTGCAAGAAAATTCAAAAAATATGGAAGATCAAGTAATTCGAATTAATAAAGAAATAGAAACATTATCGGGAAACTCTGTCAAAAGTCAGCAGAAAAAAGTGGCTGAACTATGTAAATTAATCGATGCGACTAAAGCTGAAATATGTAAATTCCAAGTTGCTATTAAAACAGCTGAGAGAAATGTAAAAAAAATCGAACAACGAATAGTTTGTTTAGAAAATGATATACATACTAGTGAAGAGAAACTTCGTAATTTTCAAAAAGAAAAACAAGATTTAGAAGTACAGGGAAAGGAATATTTAAAAAAACTCGATGAACTTACGGAAGCTCTTACGGAAAGAGATGAAGCTATGTCATCTCTCAAAGAAGAATTACAAGAATTACAGGGTAGAGAGAATAAAATGAAGACAATTAAAATAGATCTTGATCAGAAATTAGAAGAATATAAAAGTTTAATTAAAAAATTAAAACAAAAATGTCTAGATTATACAAAAAGAATAAATGATTTGAAACTTCAAGTAATACCCGGTGAAAATATCGAAGAATTGAAAGAATTAAGGGAAGAGGAACTTAATGAATTGGATGAAAATGTTCTTATAGGCAATTTGCAGAAAGTTAAGAAAAAATTACCTACTGAAGTACCGAATATGCAACTTATCGCAGAATATAAAGAAAAAGATGCATTATATTTACAACGTGTTACCGATGTAGAAAAGATAACGATTGAACGCAATAGAATAAGAGATATTTATGAAACGACAAGACGTCGTAAAATACAAGAATTTCTTGTAGGTTTTACTATCATTACCGACAAATTAAAAGAGATGTATCAAATGATCACATTAGGAGGTGATGCTGAGTTAGAATTGGTCGACTCCTTAGATCCTTTTAGCGAAGGAATTGCTTTTAGCGTAAGACCTCCCAAAAAATCTTGGAAAAATATTTGTAATCTTAGCGGTGGTGAAAAGACATTGAGTTCTTTAGCTCTTGTATTTGCATTACATCATTATAAACCGACCCCTTTATACTTTATGGATGAGATAGATGCTGCCTTAGATTTTAAAAATGTTTCAATTGTTGGAAATTATATCAAGGAAAGAACAAAAAATGCACAATTTATAATTATATCTTTAAGATCTAATATGTTTGAACTTGCGGATTATCTGGTTGGAATATATAAAACGTATAATTGTACAAAAAGTGTTACGGTTGATTTGAAAAAGTATTATGAAAAAAATGGAATTGCTCCTCCGACACAAAATACTTTGAAAAGTGGATATTGGACACAAATACAAAAATTTAATAGTATGCAAACGAGTCAACAAAAAGAAAATTGTAAAGCACAAAAGCAAAATGAAAATATAACGTAAGTAGAAATTTTTTTAATATTATGTAATTGCTTAATTTTAAAAGTTAGATCGATTAAAACTTAAATTTCAAAAATTTATTAAGAAATTTAATTGATCAGGATATATAATTATCATTATTTTATATACCAATAATTTAATGATAAAAAAATAAAAAGATTAGTCAATATTTTTATTTTTGATATTCCTGATTCCTGAAATTTTTAATTATAAATATGATTAATAATATTTATAATATTAATATTTATTCAAATAATACAAGCAGCATTTTTTATTAATTTACAAAAAATATTTTCCAAATAGTAGAAGATTTTATGGAAATATAAGAATTTAAATATTTTTTTTCTTTATTAATTATTACAATTAATTAAATTTAAAAAAAATAAAATTATTACAATGATAAAATATTAAATTACTTTATAAATATCAATATAACGTGATAATTATAAATATAGATTAAAATTAAAATTATATAACGAAAAATTATGATATTATAATTAATATTTGATTTTTTTAAATTTAATTACTTATTAAAGAAAGTAAATACATTGTAATTTTACATACGCTTGTATATAAAATTAAGTATCTATATTTTTCTTTTGTTTCTTTCAGATTGCCCGAATTAGGTTTGTGTCCAACACCTGAGAAAATATCTGATAAAGATGAATGTTCAAATAGTAATACAACTAATGGCAATACTTGCAATAGATCTTTAAAAAAAAAGCTTAAAATATAAAATAATGTAAGATAATGTATTTTTGTTAAAAATTTCACGAATATAAAGATATACTTCTATATAGATATATAAAATATATAATAGTAGATTCGAATCAAATAAAATTTTATATAAGTTCTAAATTTAAGTTTAAAATAAATTTAAATGATATACAAATGACTTAGAAATATATATATTTGTATATAATTTAATAAACATGATAATTATGTTATATGCAGTTGTAATATAAAAATCTGATTAAATATTATAAAATATTATTATCTTGTGAGACATTAACTACAAAGCATATTGAAATTCATAAACTGTTTTACGCATAAAGAAAATGATAATTTTGTATATAAATCAATTGAAACTCTATGTATACTGTAAATGATATGTAAAAAGTAAATGAAAATGTTTGAACATTTTTAATAAATATTGTAAATAACAATATTATTTCTATATAATTTTATATGTACGTACATAAAATATAATAATACAATAAATATCATTTTGGATTGATTCGTGTATCATTATTAAAAAGAATAATTGAATGATAATTTATTTAAGTTATCTTTCGAAAAAAAAAAAAAGAAAAAAGAAGAAGATTTTTGATGATACTATTTCTGCCTAAACATTCCATAATTGTTATCACAAGTCAAGTGTAATTCAATAAAATTGTTGATAATTATCTTTTTGTTTGTACGAGACATGTCACTTCAGTATTCTTTCAAACTCCGACGAAGCAAACATTCGAAACTAATTGCGAAGAAGTGGGATAGATTTGTAAAGGAAAAAGAGAGATTGCAGACAGTAGGCGGGGAGTAGATATGTACGATATAAGTATCATCGAGTAACAGATTAGAATTTGAACAGTCTGTGTTTGATAGTATTGGAAATTACAACCATGAAGAACGAGGAACTTGCACAGAATGCACAAAAAGAGTCAACAAATATTATTGGTAAATAATATTTTTGAAATTTTTCTTTTTTTATTTGAAATTAATATTTTTGAAATTATTACTAAATAATATTTTTGAAACAGTGAATTTCAAAAACAGTGAAATTAATTTGACAATGAAATTAAGTAAGTATTTGAATAATTATAATTTAGTGTACATATATTTGTTATTTTTCAGCAAATACAAATAATTTATATTTTCGAAATTGGATTTTCCGTTTTAAATAATTGATAATTAATAATTGTATTAATTGAGAAAGAAGAAGAAAGTTAATAATTTATATTTTGTAAAAGTAATTAAAATTATAATAAAAATATTATTTTTATATTATACATAATTATAAAAACAAATGTAACGTTGAATGATATTTTTTTATCAACGAAATTTTAAAAATACAACGTATGATTGATGTACTCGATGTTAAACATCCATTTTATTTGTAATAATATTTTTATGTAATAATATTTTTATACAATCGTAAACATTTATTATTATTAATCTCTTATGGATCTGTTTGATAGATCGTTCAAGTTTAATTTTATCCTGTATTTTTTTTTATGATTAAATTAAGGAATATAGTTATCGTTTTATTATTATTGTGTTTTATATATATTTTTTTTAAATTATACTATATATACAAACAAATTGAAAAGAAATTTGTTAAATGTAACGAACTACTTATTAATATTAATATTTAACTCGTAAAACTGGTATGATGATTTTGTTATACATTTCATAGAAAGATATAAGAATTTCAAAACAATTTAAAAGATAACAAAAATTAGCAATATGCGTTATATTTATATTACTTAGAAATTAGTTATATCGGGTAATAATAATAAAAAATAAAATATAAAATTTCATAAAAAAAAATATGTCAATGCTATTAACAAGTATACATTTCTTAAATTCACCAAAGAAATAGAAATTGCTAAGGAAGAAGGGAAAAATTTATTAAATCCTGCTATACTCGTTAAATTGTTTTTGATATTGAATTTAATTATCGAATTTTTATTAAATTTATGATTCTTATTCTTATGTATCATATTGAATTTTTATTTAAGTCTTTATTATAGTGTTATCTAATTATCTATATTTATCGTGTTTTTTCTATGTTGCAATATTAGAGATAATTTATTAAATAATCTTTGAACATTTTTGTTCGTTCTTTTGAAAATTTCTCTCTCTTTTTTTTTTATTATTTTAATTTTTGATATAAATTTTTTATTTATTGATAATTTTTAATTTAGACTCTTGTTAGATATTAACGGAATATATAACGTTAATATTAATTTTTATTTCACAATGCTTACGATATATACGTATGTTAAAAAAAAGAAGAAGAAAAATATAAATTGTGTTATTTCAGGTAAACTTGGAATCAGACATTTGCAAGTTTTTCTGCATTTCTTAGGGATGGTGATCGGATATTCTCTTCGAGTGAGCATGTCGCTAGCTATTGTGCCAATGACAACGAAAGACTCCAATAATTATCAATTCGAGGTAATTTGTACATTAAATCATATGATAATTTAAATTTTTAAATTTCACTTAAATTTTCGTATATATTCGGTATAACTAAAAATTCTAAGATTTAAATTTTCGTAAAAAATATCTTTTCATTGCTGAAATAAGTAATTAACGATAAAATTAATAAACTTATTAACAAATCTATTTCTGTATTCTAATATGCGATGAAAAAGAACAATCGAACAATATTAATAATGAAATATCTTGAATTATTTTAAACAATAAAAATAATAAAATTATTAATGAATTTCTAGAGAATGGGAAATACCTTTTAAAAAAGCGACATATTCATTTTTCGTTATATACATCGCATAACTGTTATCGAAACTAACAACATTAATTTAAAACTTTTTTTTTTTTCGCATAGGTAATTATATTTTTAGAGAGATAACCGCAAGACTTTTTTTTATATATCTTATTTGTATATATATATTTTAAAATTACTATAATAGAAAATTAGTAATTTGTAAAGGCATCACGATAATAATAATTTTATTAAAATAATCGATATTTTTTACTTATTGCCATTAAGATCGAATTTTAGAAAGAATGGAGAAATTTTATGAAATTAAGATTGAAATATATATTCTCTTATAAATTATATAAATTTAATAAATAAAAATATTGATCTCTTACATAAATGAACGCTTAAAGAATAAATCTAACGTGTATTTAGATATCGGTATGTGTGTAATAAGTCTTACGAAACGCTTAATCTTCTTTATAAATTTGTATAATAGATGTTGAATATTATTAGTATTTAATTGCGTTATTTTAGAATTAAGTAATGAACTTTGAATGATAATAAAATTAATGAAAATGTTTATGTATATATATATATATATATATTGCATAAATATTCGTCTGTACGTCGTATAAACATAGTATATTTCCATCCAATACGTAATCCTTGAATTATGAAATGAATATAAAAATTATAAAAATTATTGTCAAGGAAAAATAGTTATTACAATACTTGGATAATTGGATAGAGAAATTTTCCATCAGACATATAATTTATATTAATATTAATTTAGAAGATATATTACAAGACACGAATAATACCTATATCAAGAAAAAGAAAAAGAG